AAAAAAAAAAAAAAAGAAGAAGAAGAAGAAGAAACAGATCATCTATGATGGAAAGGAAATCAGAATCAAGGCAGATTTCTCAACAAAAACCATCAAATCAAGAAGAGTTTGGAATAAAATATTCAGGTCCTAAAAGAAAACAAGTTCCAACCCAGATTGATGTACCCTACAAATTATCTATTAAATTTAATGGACAGACAAAATACTCCGATGACAAACAACTGAAGAAATTCGTAATAAACAAACCAAGCCTACAAAGAGTTCTGGCAGATATTTTAGAAAATGACAAAAATGACCACAACTGCAAGAACAACAAAAGAAGGGGGAGATGGCTCAGTAGAATAAGTGCTTCCCTGGCAAGCGCAAGGGCCTCAGTTCAATCCCTGGTTCTGCCAAAAAAAAAAAAAAAAGGACCACCAAACACAGAAAACTAGGAATCATACTGCAGGAAAATAAAATGACAAAGATAAGGCCATACATATCAGTTAAAACCATCAATGTAAATGGTTTCAATTCACCAATCAAAAAAATAGACTGGCAATGTGGATTAAGAAACAAAATTCAACAATATGCTACATACAAGAGATAAATTTAACCAAAAAGAAATTCACAGACTTAAAAAAAAAAACCCTATACTTTTTCCTAAAGCATGATACAGTCTTTTATGAAGTACCTTATGTCATTTCTTCTTCCACTGGGAATATTTAATTGTATTTGAAATATCTGTCTTCTATGTTTTACTTGTTACTGCTTAATATATCTTGCTGTAGTTAAGTGCCATACTAATTGCTAAAATAATGTCAAGACTAGGCAAAGTTCAGCTAATTATGGTGACTTCAGACAAATTAAATGTATGCAAGACATTTAAATCAGGCAATACAGATTCTAGTATTGTTTTGACTATGTCAAAACTTTCTGATAAAACATGAGGAAGTCATTGAAAACTCCCCACATATTATAATAAATATTGACAAGTTTTTGGGGAAAAAAAAAAAAGAATTCACAGACTTACAAGTCAAAGGATGGAAACAATACTCCATGAGACAGGAGCCCAGAAAATAAAAGAGGTAGCTATTCTGGTTGCTGAAAATGTCAACTTCAAGAGTGATTGAAACAGATAAAGAAAGTCACTACATACTAGTTAGGGGAAAACTGCAAGAGGAAGAGATAACAATTGTAGCCAGGGAGATAGCTCAGTAGAATAAGCGCTTGCCTGGCAAGTGCAAGGGCCTGAGTTCAACCCCCGGTTCCGCCAAAAAAAAAGAGAGAGATAACAACTGTAATTATATATGCACCCAATGTAGGAGCACCTAACTATATAAGACAAAATTTTTTGGGGGGGCTGGAGAGATGGCTCAGTGGTCTAAAGCACCTACTTAGAACAAGCTTGGCAGAGCATCAGGGACCGCGGTTCAATCCCCCAGCACCACATGCCAGCCAGCCCCGCCCCCTGGTGGGCTGAGCTGGCCACACAC